GCTTTATGGCAGTTTGTTGCCAGAATTTGGGTTGGAAAAACACATTACACATGCTGACATTTTTCACAAGAAGAAAAGTCAACGCGTATATTTTTTTGGAAAGTAAGTCAACAGACTCAACACGTATTGCTTGCTCCAACTCCAAGTTTCGCAACACCTTCCTTTGTCATTGTTGTATGTCCTTTCTTGTTGCGAACATCCAACTACCCGCTCAATGAGGACCCAATTAAAGAAATAGATATCATTTGAACCAACAATCATAATTCCAAAAGCAAGCTTGATGTTGGACAACTTGAACACATTTGTGGCAATGAGCAAATGATCGAATCGAATGATAATCTTCATTTTAAATTTACTCCACTAGAAAATGGGGAATCAGAAACAAAATTTCCATAAAATAATGATGTACTGTAGTAAGTCAATTAAATCATATTATGTAAATAAAATGATAAAAAAAAAAAAAAAAAAACTGTTTCTTCTTCTCATCCAGCCAACCAATTTGCAAATGTATAAAAAGAGACTTAAGAGTTAGGCACGGTTGGAGTTGGGCTCTGGAAATTGGAAGAGCTTAAGAGGCCTGAAATTAGGTTTATTTAATTTGTGTTTTAAATGTATATTATTGGGTATTTTAAAGAATTAGAAGGGTTTGAATTTCTAACTCTTCTTCAAAGGTTTGATAAAAAGTTGGCATTGAAAATGTTGAAAAATATGTCAAGTAACTCCCACCGTAAAAAAGTTAAAGAAAAATGTTTTTCTATTGAAAAAAGTAGGAAGAAAAATTAACTTATTGATAATTGTGTTAAAAAAATAAAAGTTAAAAATATTAAATTTATCTTTTATTTATTATAATATTAAGATGGGAAATATTAAAATTCTCTTTAACTTACCTTAGGAACAAGTGAAACAATTTCTTCCAAGTCGATTATATTGAAAATATAGTAAGAGAATTTGGTATGATGATAAAAATGGTATTTTATACATCAACGATTGCTTATCTATTGATGTTTCAAAACCAAAGGATTAATTCTTGATGCAAATTTATGTGAAGCAATTTGGAATAAACTCCTTCAATGGAGATTTAGTTTTTTTTTTTTTTGTTTTGAATGGAGATTGTTTAGTTTTTTTTTTTTTTTTTTTTGAATGGAGATTGTTTAGTGACTGGTTGCCAACCAAGAAGAACCTGGACTAGCGAGGAATCAAAATTGATGGTGGCAAATTCAATTACCAATTGTTTAATGGGGTGGTGGAAGATGTGAATCATGTAATGTTGAAAATATCCATTTGCATACCTGGGTCAGTCGAAGATTTTAGCTCGGTGGGACATTCAGACAGCTTTGCCTTCTTTAATTCATGAAGCCTATAGGCAATTAGTCCATGGTTTTGCTAATGAAAAGTTGGAGATTGGTTTGGTCTTTTTTATTCATCACCACTTCTTGGCATATACAGGGATTTGCAACAAGGTTAAGTCTTTTGAGGCACTTATGAAGCATTGAACGTAATTTATAAGAGACGACATTTTTTATTTACACTTTATTTTAAGGTGTTCCTCGGCCTACCGAACCTGATGAGTGGGGTTGGAGAGAGTTATGTGGCAAAATAAAAAATATAATGATTTGTGCAATTACTTGACATTTTAGGATTTAATCCTATTTAGGAATGTATACATCTATTCATTTACTGCGACCTAATATTGTAATAACTATTGTACAAAAAACACTATCCTTGGAACATTACTATTAAAATGTATAACTTGTCTTCACACTTATATTAAGGGAGTGTTTAGATTTGTAGTTAAAATGTAGCTGATAGATTGATATCTAGGTTATTTTATTGTTTTTTCTTTATAAAACAAATAATAATTTATAACTCTAAGAGTTTGATCTATTAGTAAAAAATTATTATCTTAAAGTGTATAATATTTAAAGTTTAAGTTTTGAAACTAGTATCAAGCAAATTAATTTCCTTAATTTTCCTAAGGTAATGTGGGAGATGCACTCTAAAAATTACTCAAAAAAATTACTTCCAAGGTACTCACAAACTAATTTGTGGATACCATAAACATCTAAAAAAAGTAAGGGTAATTCATTAATGCTAGTACAAAGGTACTTAAAACAATTTCCTTTATTCTTCCTTACAAAGTTACAAGAATAATGAATAGGGTATCGTTCTCTAAGTAATGAAAATAATTAATACTAGATTTATTTGAACAATAGAAAAAGAAGGAATATTTTAATTAAAATAACTAAAAAAATAATACACTAAAATAAGAATTAACCAAGATACGAGATATTAAAGGATTCAATTTCACTATAACTAACTTTATTTCTATGTAAATTTAAATAAGTAAAAATGCATTAAATTATGTGAAGTTGCATTGAGATTTGTAGATTAATTTACCGCTAATATTTCACATGTTACGTTGCTTTAACTCATTATATATTGTTATAAGTTATTATATAAAATCTCTACTTAATCTTAATTATTCTATTCATATCAATTTAAATGGTAATCAATCATTTACAAGTATTAAAAATAAAAAATACAGTACTCAATATGAAAAGGTTGCAATTGTCTAAAAGTATAAAAACAATAAAATCTACATTGAATTAATTATGTTACATTGCAAGACTTGAGTAATTTAGTTTATAATAAAAGAAAAAAAATTTTTACCATGAGTATGGAGAGTGTTTTTTTATGGAGAGTTTTGATAACGTAGAAAACAAATCCAATAGTAGCAAAACAAATTTTGAAGATATGAGATCCCAATGCTTTCTATTGCTCGAAACCTTGATCTTCTCTTGTTATTGAATCCTCTCAAACCGTCTCTCTTGGTCACAAAAGTTGGAATCAAATATGCCCTCAAAAGGGGGCTGTAGCTGAAACCCCCAAATCTTCATCCGCAATGATCTGTTTCCTTGTACACGTACACCAAACCCTGATCCTAAGCCTAATAAGTTTTATTATTATTATTATTATTATTATAAAAGTATAGTTGTGTTTAATAATTGAAGCAACTACAATGCAAGGTATTCCCTACCATATAAACTTTGTAAGAAATAAAAACATTAAAAAAGACCTATAACAACAACATACAAAATTAGGTGTTTCTTACAAATAAAATAATTAAAAACTAAGAATCTCCAAATATTAATATCTATTATAAGAGTATCAATAGAATTGTATAACAATATAAAAAAATGACTGTAAAACCTACTATCACAGTTGATAATTATATCTATTTTACCATCTAACCCAACGCAAGAGGTTAGAGGACATGGTGATGATCTAGTAAGGTACATATGGATGAAAACAGTTGCATGACCATTACATTACCTAAATCATCAAGCCTCATCTTAGGTGTCCTCCCATATTCAGTTGCATCATATTCCAACTTCCTCATCTTAGGTGTCCTCCCATATTCAGTTGCATCAAAGCCCGTCCTAACCTTTTTCGTGTCGTCTGCAGAACATGGTCCGTCTTCTTTGTTTCAGGCTCAAGGATCCAGCCACCCTCATGGTCAAATATTGCCAATAAGCCTAAGAATCTAATAACATTATAATAATGAAGATTCTATCCAAATTAATGCACCGGAGGATTTGTCTTGAACTGCACGTCCAGTAAGAAAGAAAGAAATCAACTTGATCCTTAATCGAAGAAATTATATACGTTAAGATTCATGAACTTAATAGACTAGTATGAGGTCGAATTTCCATAAAAAAAAAGTATGAGGTCAAATTATGTATTAGACCTTATTCATGAACTCCTGTGGTCCCTGATTCCCCAACGAGTTCCAGATCAACCTTAACTCAAGCACAAAATTCTTTTGAGCTTGGTCATAGTCGAAATCTAAACCAACTAAAGTCCAAACTACGTGCTAAATGCTCCATTACTTTGCCACCCTAGATGGCACGCAATCTAGTATACAAAAAGGACGCAAATGCACATTCCACAATTGTGCCAAAGTCCAAACTACGTGCTAAATGCTCCATTACATTGCCACCGTAGATGGCACGCAATCTAGGACACAAAAGGACGCAAATGCACATTTCACAATTGTGCTCCTTTTTATTCTTAACAGAAAGAATGGGATGAAATGTTCTTAAAATAAAAATCATAAACAAAAAGTAATAACAACATTAGTGCAAGGTTTTCATTCCTCAACAGCAGAAGCTATGGCACAGGTAAAAACGATGCACAGGTAACAACAGAAAGCTAGCTGGATTGAAGTTTGAGCTCAGTTAGAGGCAAAGAACAAACTCAATCAAGTCTGAACCGTCCAGGGTCCAGACTATGATCCTTAGCAGCCTAGTGCAATATTCTTATACCAAAAAAAAAAAAATGTTAATGCATTGCAGTAGTGTGCATCTGACTTGAATATGCCAAACAAACAGTAATGATATCGATCCTCACTGCAACATTAACCTTCAATTTAATTTCTCAAAGAAGAAAAAAATAATGGCATGGTAAAATCAAAGCACAGGTAAGTGGTAACCATAAAGTTATTAGAGAAGATAGATCCAGTAAAATTAATTTTAGGAGTCAGCAGCCATGGCTGATGCATACCTCACTGTACAATAACACTGTGATGAGTAGTATGTCTAATGGAGAATGATGCACAAACTACAAGACTTAACTGCAAAACAATTAGAGCTTCAAAGTAAGATCAGGTGAAGATGTTGAAGATGTATCTGTCATTTGTGGTGGTGCCGCTGCTACGAAATTGATGTTTGAACTTTGGGTTGAATATTGAGTAAAATCCAAATTGACATTGCTGGTAACACCTGCATCCACCTGCCGGAAGCTCCCAGGCCAAAACAAGTCCACATCATCATCTTCAATGAACATTGGCATAGCAAAATAACCCTGTTCAAACCTTGCTCCACCTCTCGTGTCAAGAGGAGGCCTCTGTGATGGTATAATTCCTTGATGCACTGCAGAATGAGCTTGGATTCCTAGGGACCGGAATGCAGAACCATTGAGGGGCAGGGATGCCAAGCTTGTATACCTATCAGAGAACATCCCCATCCTCAATGCACGCTTTGCCATTGTCCTCTCCCTCTTATGAGCATTCTGGTGACCACCTAGTGCCTGTGAGCTGTAGAACTTGCGCCTGCAGTAATTACAAGAGAAAACCCTTGGGATAGTAGGTGACAAAGTCTGACCTGCTGTCTCACTATTGCTCTCATCAGTGCCCTTCAACTTGGCATCAGTAGCACTGAATTGGAGTGTCAAATCAAGGGAAACAGGCTTGCAGTCTGGCTGAAGGTTTTTAGGATTTGCTAGGGATGAAGTGGTTGTTGCACTATCCTTGGATGGATCAGGAGATGCATCTTGCACAGATAAGTTGGAACCTATTTGGCTGCTTGCTTCTGAATCATTTTCAGATTCCAACTTGTAGTTTGGTGGCATCATATTTAGGTAAAGTAAAGCTTTGAGCTTGTTTCTTTTGACACAAGTAACCAAAGAAAAGATATTACAACTTGCTGACCATGTAAAATAGTTATCTTTTCATAACCTGCACGTTCAAGAAATACAAATGGATCAGACTATGAATCTGTGATAAATGTCACTGCCCAATTATGGCCATGTCCTGATTTAAACAAGCTGATACAATTCTAGACAAGTTTGAAACATCATAAGTGGGCAGGTCAACTCTCACTTTCCTCAGCTAAAGTTTCCAACCCCATGACAATTATCTACCAATCTCTGCTAGCATGAACATCAACTGATCATGGGCAGAATCATATAAGATCCATATGCTACATAAATATAGAACACTTTTCGTAAGTATGCATTTTTAAAGGAGGACATGGATCAAACTACAGCCATATATGCATTCCATTATCCTGTTTGTATGGAACACACAATACAGGCATACAACACTTCATATGGAGACAAGTTATGCACTGATCTCACCACTGCATCAACAAGTAATGTAGCTGGAGGGTTCAATATGGTGGTGATCCTTTGAAACACCCACCACAAGGAATTTGCATATGATTGGACCATCTTTGAGATGTCAGCTGCTTTGTTTGAAAATGAAAAAGATGTATCAAATGATACACTTATCTCAGATGATGCTAGAAACAAGCAAGTTTTGAGAGGAGGTACATGGTTTCTAGAAGACGTTTTATGTGTAAGACCTAACAAAAAATTCAACTGCCTTCCTCTCCTCTTTCCGTCTCTAACAAAAAAGAGTCTGTATTTGGAGAAGACTAAATTGGAGGAGGAAATGATGTCTGTCAAAAGAAAGCACGTAAAGTATTTGCATTATCTCCTTGGGAAGAGAGTTCACAAGATGATAAGCAACCAGAATGGCTAGAGGGAAAATTATTACACAGTGACCCATTTCATGCCCTTCAACCACTGCATCTTCCAAGTTAGATTATTTGGTTCTTTCAAGTCTTGAGACTACTTATAGAAACTCTTGGTGCTCACTGACAGACTGTCTACCTTGTTGCTAACAAATTAAATCTTGTACTAGGTGCTATTGTCAGTTATCAAATAGTTCACAAAATTTAAAAACATTTAGATGAGGTTTTTAATGTTACACGTTATTTCTTCCATGTGAGATTTTCCCACTAAACAGAACTGTAAGCTGCTGCCATGTGACAAAAAAGTAATACAACATATGCTGTGATTAGACAACCTTAATTGGAACACCCTGATTCTTGATTTATGTTTGTCTCTCCAAGCTATTTCCTAGGAGGCTGGGACATATATGATATTGACAAGAAAAATATTTTAATTTCAGGTAGCAATTTTCTTAGAAACTTAGGCGACCATGAACTATATCATCTTTTTTTTTTTTGTTTTTTTGTTTTTTTTTTTGCTTTCTTATTTCTTTTCATCTTTTTTTGACATAGGGAGATAATCATTCAATTCTACACTTGGAGATCTTCCTCTAGATGATCCAAGAGATGATTGAGTTCAAAAATGAACATTGGCCACCGATGATCCAGGAAAACGAGCTACCATAATAAAGAAACAATTTATAGCAGATGGGGTGAGAAAAGAAAAGAAAATATGTTTAAAGGCTAAAGCTTCCACTTCATATTCAAACAAACTACCTCATAGAGTATACTTAATGGTATAAACCAAGTAATCACATCTGAAATTAGGCGATTAAGAAATGAAAAAAGTAGCATATCTGTGTGTTACTCTTCTGTTATGACCCCTCTTTCCATATTTTTCTCTCTATTTGGAATTTTGGACAAATCACAAATTAATATTTAGTTCAACATAGGACTTTATTACAACTTACATCTAGAATCTTCTCATCCAATCCTAACAAGTAAATCTATCAAACAAAACACGGTATGAATAGAAAGAAAACCCAATAGCAACTGAAAATATTCAGACCAAACCAATATCCGGGCAGGCGAGCACAATTTAAGAAATCAAAACATCAAACACAAGTGTGCAACATTAAAGCAAAAATCAATAAAAAACATGGAAAGATACTTCAAAAATTGAATCTTTAATATATATCAAAGGTCGAAGTTTTTTGCCAAATTCAAAACAAATATGAAGAAAGATGCAGAGAGATCCTTACATAATACATGTTGAAGCTGCAGATATGCTTCACTGATGTGCAACTGTGGAGAACCACGAATATCAAAAGACAAGAAAGATTTGGGGGTATTCTAGTTTTTACCACAAATGGTGAGGCAATAGCAGATTATAAGAGATAAGACCGCAGAGAAAGAGAGAAGAAAGAGATACAATTATGGGAAAGCAGAGGTAGGAGAAATGGTGATGGTGGTGCAAAGTCAGACACAGTCAGAGGGAAAAAGAAGCAGATAACACACTAAAACCCCACTATTAGTTGAATTTTTGGGCTCTTCCAGTGTTCAACAGCTACTAATCAATGAGTGGAGAGAGAGAACCCAAAGGTAGACATTGGAAAAAAAGAAGAGTACTTGGTGTAAGTCCCACAAAAAGATAATACTTATGTTTGTGTCTCATTGCTGGGTTCTCTTTCTTCCTACTTTAAAAAGTCTGTGTGGGCCTTGGCATCTTTAAATCTTAGGTTCGAATCCTATCATTTAGATGTTTGTTGTTGAACTTTTAGTTTTGAGGTGTAAAAGTGATAGTTCTTATAGGATAAAAATTTAACAAAAAAGACTACTATTTTAAATTGGTACATGATTTTAACAAAATACGTAAGTGTAGCAATAACCACACAAGTGTCAGATAGTCTCCCATTCTCATTTATTGAATTTGCATGGACATGAGGCCATGAGCCCTACATTACCCATACAGTTGCCTTTATGTATTAGCATTTGTTTTATCTCTTGTCCATATTTCATCTATCCTTTTATTCATGTTGGGAGACATATATCATTAGTCACTTTCACCCTACAAGATAATGTGCCCCTTGACCTTATTTGAGTATTGGAGATTATAATGAATTTCATTATGTAAAGATTGTTTACAATATCTTTTTCATTAACATGTTTCGTATCAATATGATGATGTAGAGCCAAAATGGTAACTAAAGGTTCTGGTTTAAAGTTATGAAATTTGATAGGTAAGAGGAGAAATGGGAAGGGATGGAAGGAAGAGAGCTCTTCCCTTTTTAAGTCTTACATCAATACATTATTATCTATACAATATATATTTTATCAAAACAACCATCGGATTCAATATAAACGCTCATCGATTATAACCAATTGTTGGATTGGCAAAATGGCTCTTTGGAGGGAAAAAGAGTGGAACATGTATCCCACTATACATTTGTCTTCCTTTGCTCTTCTTAATAAAAAGTTATTCAAACAAAAACAAGGATAGCTTTCTCTTTCCTTTCCTTTCCCTTTCTTTCTTTTACCTTTCCCCTTATTCTCAATCGAAACAATCCAAGGGTTTAATCTTAGGTATAATGCTAGGTCATGTTTGGTTGGATAAACTGACTATTCTTAATCAAATTATAAAAATAAGGTAACTTTTAAGTATAATAGTGCATATAAAAAATAATTATTCTTTACCTTTTTTTAATTTGCTTTTAATAAATGCTAGTATAATGTAATGTTTCGATCCCACATTAGTGGGAAATTGTAAATAAATTTAGTATATATGTGTAAAAACTAACTATTATTAACAACTTAAATTTAAGTATTTTATGGCTCTTAGGTCTTGACCCGAAAAGTTATTAGGTTAATGGTGAGTTTCAATCTAAATAACAATCTAATAGTAATCTATCCTTAAGGAGGAGCAAAAATCTTAAATTTAAGTTATAGCCATATAAGTAAAATGGATATAAGGATTGGATAAGGTTGCACAATAAGGATTGGATAGGGTTGCCCATTGTGCAACCCAAAAGAAAAAAATAAAATTTTACGAAGTAAATTGATATGTTAAAGATGTACCAAAAAAAAAAACAATTGATATGTTAAAGAATATGTATTTCTTATATAATGTAATAACCTTCCAATTTATAGCTTATTTTTATAAATAACTATGAAATAGACATTTCTGCAACCACATAAGCTTTGAATGACTCTAACTTCTCAAAAAAGGGAAAAAAGGAAAGCCAAGGTCAAGTCGAAGCTTGGCTTTCATTTTTTATTTCTCTTATTTATTTTAATTTAGAAAAAAATTATTTAAAATACATTAAGACTGCGTCATTTTAATAAATTTTTGTTAAAAAATTAAAATAATTTAATTTTAAAGTAAGAATAAATTGTTTTTAATCTTGTTCTATAGTGTGCTTTTTTGAAACCACATAATTTTAGGTTACTTTTTCTCTAATTTTTTTGAAGTATATTTATTAATTTGGTGCAATTCACCAATATTTTCAAAGGAAGTAAAATATATATATATATATATATATTTTGGTAAAAAAATATAATAGGAAGACCTGGGCCTTCTGTGACTTAGGATGTGATCTTACCCACACAAATAGTTGAGTTGTGCTGAGAGAAGCCTAAAGAGCGATTGGCTATTCAATTATTCAAATTGGGTACATAAATTTGCAACTTAATTAATAATGTATTTTTTTTTTTAATTGTAAAAGGTGCATCTCTCTACTAATAAGGGATTTGATCAAATTGATATCCACTAATTAAAAAATCTTAATTTAGGATTAAAATCAGATATTTAAATTTGTGTTATGTGAAGTAGTTAATTATTAGATGTATAAAAAAAATGAAATATTTCCCTTAAACGTCTTATAACAAAAATTTTTTAAAAAAATTAAAACTATTTAGATCATCCAAAATTCGAGATTGCTATTTTATATTTAGCTAAAGTTTAAAAATTTTAGTCAGTCAAAATTTCAAAAAAGGACTATGATTGGTGCACACCCGGATCTAACACCTGGGTGTGCACCCTTCACATAAAAAAAAAAATGAACTGGTTGTTCTCCATTTTTTTTTTTTATGCGGAGTATGCACACTCGGGTGTTGAATCCGGATGTACACACATCATTTTCCTTCAAAAAAATAACAGAAAGCATCGAATTCCCTTATCAGTCGTTTTAAGATTAGTAATTTTAATT